TCTATTCTATTCTATTCTATTCTATTCTATTCTATTCTATTCTATTCCATTCCATTCCATTCCATTCCATTCCATTCCATTCTGTTCTTCTATCAGACCAATCAATGTGGAGAGATTCATTTTAAAAATTTTTGATTAAGCACTCAGGAAGATGGGGATTTTCTGCGTTTCACATACTCACAAATGATTATTAGAGATCAAACAGTGTTTATGACAGTTTTTATATCTATGTTTTTGCCCTTTTTGGGGGGGGGGTGTCTGTGCATTTTGCATGTGCAAAATGACACTTGGGCTAATATAAAAAGGAATCCCTGCAGATTTTACTCCGCTAGTAATTGCCGACTATAGGGGGCAGTGTTCATCTCTGTTTCAAGGCCAGTGTAGCCAGCATGATGTCATGGAACACTGTTACCTTCCCACCAAAGTGGTACCTATTTATCTACTCTCATTCGCATGCTTTCGAATGGCTAGGTTAACAAGAACTGGAGCAAAGATGGGAACTCGCTCGATGGCATGGCGCTCATGTCTCAAACTCAGGCTGCCGGCTTTCCAGCTGATAAACCAGGCATCTTTACCCCTGAGCCATCACACCACTCTCTTTGTAATAGTTGTGTGTGTATGTCTGTAAAGTAAAGGCCAGAGTGGTCCAGTTATGATGGGAGCACTCAGGACTGTGACCTCTAAGTTGGGAAACTTGGCTCCAACAGATTTCAGAAATAACGTCAGAGCGCAGAGTTTCAAATAGTTAAAATATTGTGCAAAAACTTTGAACTCCCAGGCCTCTGTAGAGGACCTGAGATTGGGGAAGATGCAGACCACCCAATGGGGTAAGAAGGATTGATTAATTAATGAATTATTTAATAGACTTAAGGGAGTTCTCTTTCTTCTCAAATCAACCACAGTGGCTTTCCTGCAGGTAGCTGACCACCTCCTTCGCCTACTATCAAGCTGATCATATGTTATTCTGTTCACTCTATCCACACCCATTTCTTCTTTCAGTCCTTACCCATGGATGATTTCGGGGACTCTTACCTGTACTAACTAAAGTACTGTTGTTGTACAGCGTTCCCAGGTGAGGTCCGGAGAGGGACAAGAAGGTGTGTAGCTTATTGAGGTAATAACGAAACCTGGGCCGGGTCAGTACCGATCGGATGATCACGTTACCGAGCGAGTGACCAATGAAGCTACAGAAATGAAAACAACACAACTTATACTTGTTTTTGCATAGTTTAAAAATTCCTTTACCCACCGTCTCATTTGATTGTGTGTCAGGCAGAATATCATTCTAGTATCTTCATGCTAAGTTTGTTCAGGCATCTTCAAAGTCTTTAAGATGTCTTTTCCCATATTTCGCCCCATCAGAATTGATTTTCCATTCATGAAGTAAGGGATTTTCTATTCAGGAGGGGTGAACTAACATTCCCTCCTGCTTTCTGACTCTTCTCCCAGCTTCCCCACAGTTTCTCACATAAGGAAAGGATCCTAGTATAGTCCTGTAGCCCATTTCCTTCTTCTTGGCCTTTACCTGATACGTGATATTGATAAATTGTATAGCTGAATATGTTGAATGATTTCATCCAGCAACCGATCTGTCATGGTATCAAAGTCTGCAAATGTATCTGTCTGTGAAAACAAAATGGGGTTGTGGGAGGAAATATTTCCTAAAGTTGGGGTCTCTCCAGACAAAAAGAAACAAGTTTCCAAGACAATAATTGAGGTGAATAAAATTGTACTATATATGCTTTGGGTTTACAATTGACAGAAGAAGAGAAGGAAGAGAAGGAGGAGGAGGAGAAGGAGGAGAAGGTCAGGACCTCCAGGAAGCCAAGTAAAATGATACAGTAGGCCTCACCCAAGGAATGTTAAATTGCACAGATACAATTAATTAAAGGAATTAATGTGGGAAAAACTTCTGTGCACATCTCTGATGTTATCAAATCTGCATTGTGAATCTAATTTGGGAAATCAATTTTATTTGGAGATTGCCTCCAGAAGTTGTGAATGCTCCAACACCGGAAGTTTTTTAAAAGATGTTGGATAACCATTTGTCTGAAGTGGTATAGGGTTTCCTGCCTAAGCAGGGGGTTGGACTAGAAGACCTCCAAGGTCCCTTCCAACTATTCTATTCTGTTCTATTCTAGTATAAATCACCTTTAAGATGAATTTCTTAAAACTTGACACAACTACCCAAGAAAGGCAAGGCAAGGGTAAACCAGTTCCGTAGTGTTGCCAAGTCTTCCTGGACATGAAGTCACCCAGCGTTGAACTCCGCTTGAAAGAGAATTTAACTTTACCTTCCCTAGACACCCGACATGCTAAGAAGCAAGACTGATACATGAAGGCTCAAAATGCAATTTCTTGGTAGAGAAATGGGACATCCTAACTGGTTATTTAAAATATTTAGAGATCCAATTTTCAGCACCTCTGTTCCATGAAAGTGGATCATTAACAAAGACTCCTGATTATTTTTGCTTTGCCTGAATGGATACTAAAAGGTTTCCTTTGAATCTTTTCAGGTTTCCCTGATATTTTGAAATGAAAGAATCCACTGAATTACAGAGGACACAGAAAAAATGTGTCGATGTCTATTTCCAGAAGCCAGAGGTCAGCACATAGAGAGAGAGAGAATATATTGTTTCAATTTAACCTATCCTGCTTTCCTATACCTAACTTCTGTGTGTCCTGTTGCTTCTGGCCTTTATATTTCAAGGACGATATATTGTTTATTGTACCCTTCATGGCCATCAGCCTACCCCATACATGTTAGCTAAGGAGAGGATGTTATAGTTCCTAAAAGCTGAAGGTTGAGGGAACAGAAACTTGAAATAACAATTGCAATTCTCTCTGTTTGGAACACTTTTTCCCCCCCAAACCAAAGCGCTTTTATCAAATTACAGAATAACAGAGTTGAAAGGTACATTTGAGGTCTTCTAATCCAACCCCTGCTCAAACAGAGACTCTATACCATCCTGGATAAAGTTCAATCTCTTCTTAAAAGCTTCCAGTGATAGAGCACCCACAACTTCTAGAAGTAAGCCATTCCACTGATTAATTGTTCTCACTGACAGGATATTTCTGTTTAATTCTAGATTTGAATTCTTGATAAGTTCCATCCTTTACTTCTTGACCTGCCCTCAGGTACATCCCCCTCTTCTCTGTGATAGCACCTCAAATATTGGAACACTGCTACCATGTTCCCCCTAGTCCTTCTTTTCATTAAACATGCCCAATTCCTGCAACCATTCTTCATATATTTTATCCTCCATTTCCCTAATCATCTTTGTTGCTCTTCTCTGCACTCTTTCCAGAGTCTCAACATCGTTAACTAACTGGAGGAAATGGGCAATTGAGACATATGAAATATGAAAAATAAATAAGTATTCTGCTGGGCCTAAGAGCATATTTTCATCTTTAGAAATTGAACATTTAAAGAAGACTGCTATCGTGTCAGCCTTAATCCTTCTCTTCTTCAGACTAGACACACCCAGTTCTCACAACCGTTCTTCGTACGCTTTAGCCTCCAGTCCTTAATAACCTTGGACTTGGTAACATTCAAAAATCAGTTAAAAAACCTTCCATAGTGTACTTGATGTGAGAACCACCATTTAGGTTAACCCTTTAAAAATCAATGGGAGTAAGCAGCCCACAAATGCATGCATCATAAAATAAACTAAAGTTTCTTATGGTAAGAATATGCTGACTTCTTTTAGATGTGGATGAGAACGATCTCCATTATGTCACATGTGATAAGTCTTTTCCAAGTGACAGCATCACGAGCTACTCTCACATTAAGAAGCAATGGGTGGAAACTAATCAAGGAGAGAAGCAATCTAGAACTAAGGAGAAATTTCTGAGTTATAACTTTATAAATTCTTGGGAGTTAATGAGAGATGATGACATTACATATCTGTTTAATTACAAAACAAATCACATGAGTTACAAATGGATATGAATAGGTATATTTTCATAGACCACTTTAGTATCTGTGGAGAAAATATTATTTTGTTTCTTTTTTAGTGTTTGGAGAGGTAAAAAAAAATAGAGCTGGTTCTGATTGCTCTCAAAGGTACATTATTTTGGAGCATTTTAAAATTCTTTAGTGAAACCAGAATCTTGTTCTTCAAAATTGTATGAAAGAAATGGAATATTCTTGGTAGATGGTGCTGCTTATTAAGAATAGCTCATGAAATAAATTATGTTGCTGCTGCCGTGTTAACAAAAAGCAATAAAAAGCACTTAATCAAAGAATTAGGAAGGAGAAAATGCTTGTGAAATGACAGTAATGTTATTAATGCAAATATACTGAAGACGTCCCCAAAATAGTCCAACAGAAATGAAGGAATAACAAATCTGAAATGTTTCAAAATGGAAACTAATACCACACTAATATTTTGCTTTTGCAGAAGTAATTTGTGACCTTTGTGGCAATGTCCATTCAATTTCACTTTTCACCTATACAAAACCCTTCTTTATAAGGTGGAAATGCAGACATCAAGTTTTCAAACAAAACCCCGAAGGATGAATCAAATACCTGGTTCCGTTCTGACATTAGGAAGTCCAGTTTCCCTCCAGGGAGACCCAATTCAATGAAAGTTTTTACCAGCCGAAGATCTGCACTGTTACCTGGAAAACCAGAAAAGTAAAGATTTTAATCCAACTATCCTTTGGATACACCTTTGTGTCCCTCTATGTCAGGGGTCTTCAAACTTGACAGCTTTAAGGCTTGTGGCCTTCAAGTTCCAGAAGTCTTTTCAAGTCTGAAGACCCTTCCTCTATGTAGTCAAGATTGGAATCCTTTACCACGCAGGGTGCAATGGTTGCTCTATTTACTGTATATCTAGTAGTTCATCCTTATGAAGGAAATGGAGAGGCAGTTTGGTGTTAAAGCAATCTCTCTCTCTCTCTCTCTCTCTCTCTCTCTCTCTCTCTCTCTCTCTCTCTCTCTCTCTCAT